CAAAGCAGAGTTTTTAAAGCTTCTGTCAAAACTGTCTGCTCCTTTGTTGTGTCCATTTAACTTAATGCATAAACCATTAACAGCAGAGAGTAATAGAAGAGGGGCTGCTGATTTTAAGAAGGGAAATTATAAGGTCTACAATAGAAGAGTGACTTAGTAAATTATTATGGCCCATCAACAAGTTAGTTTCTGAGGCAGTTTTTCAAAAATGGTTATTAAGAAGATGACTGTCAAACACACACACACACACACACACACACACACACACACACACACCCCAAACCTACATAGTTTGAAAAAAATCAAAAGATGACTGTAAAACATGGCAAATATTGATAAACCATTGAGTGAAAGGATAAAATCCAATTCCATTATTATTTTTTGTTGCTAATCCTCACCCAATTTTTCCATTGATTTTTTTAGAGAGAGTAGAAGGGATGCAAGAAGGGAAAGAGAGAGAGAGAGAGAGAGAGAGAGAGAGAGAGAGAGAGAGAGAGAGAGAGAGAGATTGGTTGCTTCCTGCACAGGCCCTGACTGGGGCCAGTGATGGAACCTACAACACAGATACATGCCCTTAACTGGAATTGAACCCAACACCCTTTGGTGCATGGGCCAATGCTCTAACCACTGAGAACAATGACCAGATCAAAAATTCCATTATTGAAATGAGGATGATTATCACTACATAAAACTTAAAGAAATGCAGCAAAAGCCAAATGAAAAAAATATACTGACCTGAAAACAGCTGTGTTCAGGTGATGGGATTCTGAGTGACTTTCTTTCTCTTTTGTCTTCTTGTAAAATTTTCTGGAATGTTATTATGTAGCATTATATTCTTAAATGGCCAAAAAGAAAGAAAGAAAGAAAGAAAGAAAGAAAGAAAGAAAGAAAGAAAGAAAGAAAGAAAGAAAGAAAGAAAGAAAGAAAGAAAGAAAGAAAGAAAGAAAGAAAGAAAGAAAGAAAGAAAGAAAGAAAGAAAGAAAGACTGGCAGTAGAGGGGGAGAGAAGGAGCTCAGAAAAATTACATAGAAACATGCCCCTAATTAGCAGATCTTTGTGTTTTTTGAACTGGCATTTGGAACTTGGCCAATACTTACCAGATTCTAGTAGTGTTCTCAGCCTTATTTTTTATGCATCTAGTTTGGGCTGTATCAGTAGGGTTGGTAAAGAGCCACTTAATGTCCCTTTGTATTTAGAGGTCGTCTCTTGGGCTTTGCCCTTTCTGGCTCTACAGAGAAAATGTATGCACATTTTAAAGGGCAAAGGCACTTGAAATTATCATGAACTTTCATTATGACCCATCATTATTATCCTGGGCACAAACATCAGCAAATAAAAAGGAAGCTTTTCTTTTAGCCAGGCCATTTAAAGCAGGCTTCACTGAAAATAGCATTAAGTGGGTTCTTTATTTAAAATATGCCTCCCAATACATCCATGCATTTAGTCCTTTTCATTAAAACTACCAGTAGACAGAGCAAGTTCTTATTTTTTTAATTTATTTTTTTTAATTTAATAAAATCATTATTGTTCAGATTATTACAATTGTTTCTCCTTTTTCCCCCCATAGCTCTCCTTTACCTGGTTCCCACTTCACCCTCTGTCCTTACCTCCCCCACACTGTCCTCATCCATAAGTGTAGGATTTTGGTCCAGTCTCTTCCCGTACCCCCCACACCACTTTCCCCCTAGAATTATCAATCCATTCCCACTCTATGCCCCTGATTCTATTATATTCACCAGTTTATTCTGTTCCTCAGATTTTTAACTCACTTGATTTTTAGATTCACTTGTTAATAGATATGTATTTGTTATTCATAATTTTTATCTTTACCTTCTTCTTCTTCTTCTCCTTCTTCTTCTTCTTCTTCTTCAAGAATACCTTTAGGCATTTCATATAATACTGCTTTAGTGGTGATGAAGTTCTTTAGCTTTTTCTTATCTGTGAAGCTCTTTATCTGACCTTCAATTCTGAATGATAACTTTGCTGGGTAGAGTAATCTAGGTTGTAAGTTCTTGCTATTCATCATTTTGAATATTTCTTGCCACTCCCATATGGCCTGCATAGTTTCTGTTGAGAAATCAGCTGACAATCATATGGGTACTCCCTTGTATGTAATTAACTGTTTTTCTCTTGCTGCTTGTAAGATTTTCTTTTTGTCTTTTGCTCTTGGCATTTTAATTATGACGTGTCTTGGTGTGGTGCTCTTTGGATTCGTTTTGTTTGGGGTTCTGTGAGCTTCCTGGACTTGTAAGTCTATTTCTTTCACCTGGTGGGGGAAGTTTTCAGTCATTATTTCTTCAAATAGATTTTCAGTATCTTGCTCTCTTCTTCTGGCACCCCCATAATTCTGATGTTGGTATGCTTGAAGTTGTCCCAGAGGCTTTTTACACTATCTTCAACTTTTTTAATTCTTTTTTCTTTTTTTCTTTTCTGATTGAGTGTTTTTTTCGTCTTTGTATTTCAAATCTTTGACTTGATTCTTTTGTTCCTCTAGTCTGCTGTTGGATCTCTGTATAATATTTTTTATTTCAGTCCATGTATCAATATTTTTAATATCTAGTTGGTCCTTTTTCATATCCTCGAGGGTCTCATTAAATTTATAGGCCTTTTCTTTTTTTAAATTTCTTTATTGATTAAGGTATCACCTATTTGTCCTCATCCCCCCAATTCCCATCCCAAACCCCTCCCCACGCATGCCCCCACCCCCATGTTGTCCGTGACCATTGGTTAGGCTCATATGCATGCACACACATCCTTTGGTTGATCTCTCTCCCTTATCCTCACCCTCCCCTACCTTCCCTCTGAGATCCAACAGTCTGATTGATGCTGTTCTTGTTCATCAGTATATGATGTTCATCATTTCCCCTAGATGAGTGAGCTCATGTGATACTAGAAATACACTTATAAGAACTGAATATGAGATGAGCAATATTATCAGCCTTTTCTAGAAAATTATTGAAAACCTTATATCCGTGTTTTTGAACTCTATATCCAGTCGTTTGTTTTCCTCCATTTCTTTCATTTGTGATCTGTTTCCTTGTATCCACATTTTGGCTGCTTCCCTGAGTTAGTAGGGTGGCTTTGTGTGCTAGGTGTCCTATATGATCCAATGGGTCAGCCTCCCAGTTACCTGAGGTAGAAACTATTGGTGCTCCTGTTTGTGGACTCTGTGTACAGCCTTGTAATTAAGTCTTGATTGTTGTTGGTTGCCGGGGCCAGCCGGCAGGATCGAGCAGGTAACCTGAATGAGGGGGTGAGGCTGAGAAAAAGAGACAAGAGACAAAGATGGGGTTGGGAGGTCTGCAGATCCTCGGACTGCAGCCCCGAGTTTATTTTTCAGCTCAGTATTATAGCACTCTGAAGGAGGAAGTTCCTACTTCCCTGTTCTGGGCACCCCGTCAAACTTCCTCCTTAGCTCACGCGCTTCTGGCTAAGTGCAACTGTTAAGTCAGCTAAACCTAAAGCCAAGCCAAGCTATGGGGGGGGGGCGAGGTACTAGCCACGTCAGCCACCTCCAGAGAGGTCAACACCGGCCTGTCCCCAGGCTGAAGTGCTAGGCTTAACGGGCCCTTGCAACAGCAAGGCAATACCGGGGCCAAACGGCCCCCCACATCTCCCCCCTTTTTATTAATTAAATGCAAGCGCTAGACTACGTGTTTGGGCTCTGAGTCTTTAGGCTTAGTATGTAGGGTCAACTTATGCAATGCGATTTGAAGGGAAAAAATATCTCGGGTTAAGGTTTTAACAATACAGGGGAATAACAATAGTATAAGCAACACTAGTCCTGCTAGACCTAAGATGGCTCCTACCCCATGCTGCCAATCCGACATGGACGGAAACTGATCTCGCAGACCGCTTATCATCTCCTTAGCCATTTCTGCTAACGGTGTATCTATCTGAGGAGCATTTCTCAGAGCTAGTATATCTTGGTGCAATTGTAGGATATCCAAAGAGGCGTTTTCGCTGTGCCATATCCCTGCAAGATGTTTTTGCACCCTGTCCCAAGCATGTTCAGATTCGTTATATTTTTTTCGGGTAACACAAATATGCTTATATTCAGCATGGCAATCCAAGGCTAGGCGGATCTTTAAACTTCTAATCTCATCCCCTAAGATAGACACTGTATCATACAGAGCATTAAGGCGGTCCTCAATCCTTCTATCTATATCTTCTTGGATACCCAACGCTTGAGTCACATTGGCAGATAATTGGTTAACATGGTGAGCAGTTTGAATAGACTGGGTCAGAGAAACTGCTGAGGCAGTGCTAGCAGCTATAAGAGTAATAAGAGCAGTGATGCCTGCGATAAGCAGACCTACAAAGCGTTTCCCTCGGATCAGCATGGCCGTGGCTTCCCTAAACAGCTGTATACCCTTATCCTCATACCAGGGCCCAGAAACATTAACAGGTAACATAACAAAGGAAGGTTGATATAACACGATCACTTGCTGATACCGGGATACATTGAAAACACAGTTAGCAAGAGTACATCCTGGACAACTTATGTTCCACACACCATCAACCTGGGTCAAGTTTGCCTTTCCCACCAGGAGTGCATAGGGTTCTGGCACGCAGGCCTGGACCTTATGATACCACGTTGAGGAGGCCCCAGGAGGTATCACCATCACATTCCCCCGTTCATCGAGACTCTGGTCCACTACGGCTACAGCTAATCTCCATAGCTGTGTTTGCATTGGTCCTTCATCCATAGACCAGATTCCTTCCGTCAGATAGTCAGGAGTTCCTAAGTCGGCACCGGATCCTTGGGTAGTTAGCCTCCAGTCAAGCAGACGCCCTCCTCCTGATACGTTGTAGGCGGTAGCATTATGTGCTCGACAACGAAGCCAAACAGGTTGTTGAGTATGATTTCTCCCGTATAATCTTGGTCTATTACCCCGGGACTTACTACAAGACCTTGCATGGTGGTACTGCTTCTTCCTAGCAGTAGCCCAACCGTGCCTAGAGGCAGCGGGCCATACACTCCGGTAGGAATGGCCTGCATGCCCATGGCCGGAGTTAGTACTGCATGGGTGGCGGAACTGAGGTCCAATCCTGCGCTTCCTGGGGTAGCTCTGTAGAGGTCACGAATGGATTGCTTGCCCGCTGGGACTGCCCCTGTAGGGCCCCTTGCAGTGCCCCATATGTTTGTGGGGCCTGGGGCTGGCCCCTCTTCCAGTTTCCCTGCTGCAGGGTAGGAAGGGGATTTCCCTGTGAATCGCGTTTTGAGCGACAATCCCTCGCCCAATGTCTTCCCTTCTGGCACCGAGGGCATATCCCTGGGGCTGTCCCTGGTCCTCCCTGATCACTTTGAACAGGAGCTTTTTGAGGGCATTCTTTAGTAAAATGTCCCATTTGACCACACGAGAAACAACTCCCTGGAGGTCCTGGTACTCTTCTCCCGCGCCCTCTCCCTCGCGGTGACTGCTGAAGAAACTGCCGCAGAGATTGACCTTTCAAGGCGGCAGCTAGAGTAACCCCTGTAGTATAAGATGGCCCAATGTCCTGGCATATCCTGATATAGTCATTTATATCCCCTTTATGCCTGTATGGCCTCAAAGCGGCCTGGCACGCAGTGTTGGCATTCTCAAAGGCCAGCTGCTTGACTATTAGTATTCCCGCTTCCCCTTCTCCAATCAGTTTCCCGGCCGCATCTAAAAGTCGAGACACAAAGTCCTGATACAGCTCATCTGGCCCTTGGCGAATTCTAGTGAGATCCATGGTAATATTTTTGGAAGTAGGAAGCTTTTTCCACGCTTTCCGTGCAGCTAGGGAGATCTGAGCATAATAGGCCATATTATAGGTAGTCTGAGGCTGAGTGTCCGCCCATTGCCCTTCGCCAATCATGGCTGACAGGTCGGACTGTATTCTATTAGCCAGGTTTCTGCGGTGAGTCCTTTCACACTCCTCTACATATTCTGTCTTCCATAGCAGATAGTCCCCACCACTCAAGCATGCCTTTGCCAGCTGTTTCCAGTCATTAGGACACATGGTATAATCGTCATTAATAGACTCAAGCACTACCAGAGTATAGGGTGCTGTTGGCCCATATTGAGCACATGCTGTTTTTAGCTCTTTTAACTTTTTAAAGTCTATGGTGCCATAGACCCTCTGAGGAGGGTTATTCCCTTGAGCAGGATGTTCATACACCGGATAAGCCAGAAAACCGCCCTGGTCGAACCCATCTAAATCCTCTCCTGCCATTCTCGCGTCCCTCAGTGCCGCTTGCAACGGGGACAGCCCTGAGGGAGAGGCTTGGACCTTCCCCCAGCCAGGGTCGTTCTTCTGTCCGGGTCCAGCCTGCGCCATAGCAACCATCAACTTCTCCTCCTTTCCTAACACCTTAACCCTCTGTGTAAAACCTGGTTCTTCCTTTTCCGATTCTGATCCGGATTCGATTTCAGTGGTTTCTCCCATCGTCTCCGCCCCACTTGTAGAGCTGTACAAAGAGCTCCGAGAGCTCGATCTTTTCTGTGACCTTCCCCGACTGGACACCTCCCCCTTGAAGGGGGCATTTTTTAAGGGGGCCTTCTTTCTTTCATCCCCCCGCTTCTGCCTGATACCTTTCCGAGACTGCTGACCCGTTGGTTTCTGCATCCCCTCTTCCTCGTCGACCTCCACTAATGGCGGCCCTTCCAGACCTGCCCGCTGGGAGGGAGTGGGAGTGGGTGCTCGAGTATGCATCTCTTTTTGCATCTTCTGCGCCACAACCTGCCACGCCTGTAATTGCTTTGCTAGGCCAAGTACAGCCTGTCGGAGAGGATCCTGCTGAGCCTTTCCCCCAGCAGTCTGCTCCGAGAGGAGAATCAAGTCATCCTCCTGTCTGTAGTGAGCAGCAGCTTCCTCTAAGTCCTCAGCATCTCCTGGGTCTAAGGGCTCCTCCTTCCTGACCGCTGCCGCCTCCAGCGGCGGAGCTGTGGGCGTTGTAACCACAGGAGGAATCTCCGCTGCCACTACCTTTTCCTTGGCTTTCTGTCCCTCATGCCGGGGATCTATGCAGTCGCGCACTAGCGCCCAAAGGGAAAAAGTGTCCACTGGCACCTTCTGCGGCCCATGAGCCTCATAGTAACCCTGTATTCTTTCCCCCACCTTCACCCATGTCTCCAGATTAACAGTTCCTTCTTCTGGAAACCACGGGCAGACCTCTTCCACAAACTGCATAAAGTGGTGCAGCTGGGAAGAGCTTACCTTAGTGCCCCTGCTCCGGAGCATGGTCTTAAGGACCTGTACAAACAGCTCTTTGCTGTTTCCTTGCCCCATGATTTTTTACTCCCAACTATCGCGCTTAGCCGCTCCCCGCGTTCCTACCTTGCAGCTGCTCCCGAGCGGCGGCCTCTACCTTTCTTCCCAAGTTTTCAGGTCCCTGTTCGGGCGCCACTTGCCGGGGCCAGCCGGCAGGATCGAGCAGGTAACCTGAATGAGGGGGTGAGGCTGAGAAAAAGAGACAAGAGACAAAGATGGGGTTGGGAGGTCTGCAGATCCTCGGACTGCAGCCCCGAGTTTATTTTTCAGCTCAGTATTATAGCACTCTGAAGGAGGAAGTTCCTACTTCCCTGTTCTGGGCACCCCGTCAAACTTCCTCCTTAGCTCACGCGCTTCTGGCTAAGTGCAACTGTTAAGTCAGCTAAACCTAAAGCCAAGCCAAGCTATGGGGGGGGGGGCGAGGTACTAGCCACGTCAGCCACCTCCAGAGAGGTCAACACCGGCCTGTCCCCAGGCTGAAGTGCTAGGCTTAACGGGCCCTTGCAACAGCAAGGCAATACCGGGGCCAAACGGCCCCCCACAGTTGGTGTCACTGGGTGGGAATTGACCTCCAGGCCAATTGGCTGTGAGGACCCACTGTGTCTATAATGGAAGAACTGCTGTGCGGGAGACACGCTTATGGGGAAGGACTTGTTTCAGGGGGGCTTTGGTACTCACTGAGTCTGCCTCTTGAATGTGTCACTTATGAGAATAATTGAAATCTGGTGTTGTCTCACACTGACCACTAGATACACTAGCTTCTGGGTCTCCAATGGGGTGCAGGTAAGCTACTGTCTAAGGCCACCCAGCAGGAGCTACAGCAAGAACTAGTTTTCTCCTCTTTGCTTGGGGTTTGTAAGTTTTGGAGCTGTCTGACCAGAGCTGCAGTTAGTTTGGTTAAGCTGCCATAGGGAGGCCATTTATATGCAAAATCCACTGCACAGAGCTTGGGTATGTTTATAGACTGTGCAGGGTGGAGTGTCAAGGCATCACTAGGCTAAGGCTTGGCAAACAGCAATGGCTGCCAGTCAGCCTTCTCTTAGTTTCTGCATTTCCAAGTCCCCGAATCCCATGCTCCAGTGCAGTAAACAATGATTGCTGGGCACACCTCTGAAAGAAAGTCACCTTCACTTTCCAACCTGATTGCTGACAGTCCAGCCTTTTCCTGTAGGAGTTTGGGTCCCCCACCTCTCTGCAGAAACTGGAGTTCAGAATAATCAGGAGCTTGTCTCTTTTCAGGTTGAAAAAAAGCAGCACATCCAATCACCCACCACCAGCCCGATTTGCTCACCTCCGTACCTCAGCTTTTCAGCACTTGTGCATGTCTCAATGCCCTTTTCTCTTTCCTTCTAGTTGAAGAACTTCCACTCATCCAGCTTTCCTGTAGCTTTGGGTGATAGACGTTTTGTCTTTTAGTTGTAGTTTTGAAATTGTGTGAGGCAGCAGTTTAGGTGTTTATCTACACCACCATCTTTGTTTTTCTCCAGAGCAAGTTTTTAGTTTTTGTTTTTAAAAATGATACTTGTGCCTTGAAGAAAAAAATTTAAGCCACATAGAGAGGTGTAGAATAAAAATAAAAAATCACCACCTGCCAATTGCCCTCCTTTTGAGGTACCCACTGTTAATAGTGTGAAATGCAATGATAGGCTGACTTATATTTCTGACAGCTCCTTGCTTCTTAATGGACTCTGAGGTAGATTTGGTTTAAGTAAACTCAATGTATCCATCATCATCAACATAGATGGTACCCTGTTCTGGTGTTAGTGCTGATGGCAAAATTCTGCTGCTAAGTGTTGTCACCTTAAGGGAGATATGATTTAAGTAATGTTTATGTAATAAGTTCCCAGTTTTTACTGACCACTCATTGGGTTTGTGACCCTGATTCCAAAATTTCTTTCCCTCAGGTATTGACAGAGTGACCCAGCCAGCTTTGCCCAGCCACCCCCATCTCCTCTCTGAGTGAGGATAAAAGGCCTTACCCTCACTCTCCGGACACATCCATTACCATCATTTGCATGGTGGCTCTACCTGTGGTTTCAATACTTCCCTGCCTTCCATCTCACTCTCATTCTGAATGGAAGCATGCCCTCCACCACCCATTTAGTTTGTTGCCAACGATTGTGTGTTCCAATGCTTATGTGTGTCATTAGGGTTAGCTCAATATTTTTACCCCAGTCTATTAAGGAAAAGGAGGAAAGCTGTCATCGGACAGGGTGGCCTGACAGTCTTTCTCTTTTACTTTTAAAGCCTTGCTAAAAAGAAAATGACCATGAGAGAAATTTTGGACTGTTCCCAGATCACTTTCCAAGATGAATTGGCTGGCTAAATCAATCAATAAAGTAAGTATCTATTAGGCAGCTATTGTGTGTAATGAGGAAGCTCTCCCAGGTCTCTGGGTATTTATGCAAAAGAGACAATCATTCCACATTATTGAAGAACTGGCTACTGCTGAAATCCAGAGCTGAAAAAGTCTATATCTGATAGACAGGTATAGATAGATAGATGATAGATAGATGATAGATAGATAGATAGATAGATGATAGATAGATTGATAGATAGATAGATAAAAAGGTTGTCGAGCAAGTGGGTACAAAAGATATGGAAAGGAACATAAATATCACTTCTCTCCCCTCTGAATTCAGGATGTCTTACTATGCATGCATTATGAACTTTATAAGAAGGGAAGTGAATTCATGTGGAATACTCCCACCCAAATTACCTAGTTTTTTCACTGCAACATGTTAAGACTTTACTAATAACTTCAATTGATGTTGTGTGAAGTTTCCAAGCATGAGGTTGCCATGCATTTTACTTTTAATCCTGCTAATCAATTCAGTGGGTGCTAAAGAAGAGTTGGCTTTTATGATGACCTGATAGACATAGCTAAAAAGCAGAACAAACAAGAAAGAGGTTGTAATTATGTCAACAGTGTGCAACTTGGCCTGTGGTGATGCAATTCTGTATATTTTACACTATTAAGTGGGAAATCTTAAGAAATTATGGAAGATAGCATATTTAAATTGATAAATTTTCTCATATCAAAGACAAAAATCTCAAAACTGATTTTCAAAAGAACAGTCAGCAACATTCGCATTAAGTTGAAAATGGTTAGACATACTATTTTTCTAGAAGTTTGTGATAATTAATAGAGGAGATGAAGTATTCAGGGTTTGTTACTTCAGAGAAAACCTTTTATCTTTCTGGTCTTCAATTTATCCATCATTACTGCAATAAGGCAAATAAGTACATGCTCAATTATTCTATAAAGATGTGTCCTACAAAAGACCTATTTCTATAATAGAATAATAGTAATGATAATGATAGTAGTTAACACTTGTGAATTTCTTTTTTTAAATGTTTGCATTGATATTAGAAAGGAAAGGAGAGAGAGAGAGTAAAATAGAAATATTGATTGGCTGCCTGCTACATGCCCCCTACAGAGCCCACAACCAGAGCATGTGCCCTGACGGAACCAGAGCATGGGTTGACGCTCAACCACTGAGCCACACTGGCCTGGAACATGTATGGAGTTCTTGTTTCACATGCTTTGATTCATGTTATCCTCACAAGAACTTTATGTGGTAGTACTATTATTATCGCCATTCCACAGATGAGGAAACTAAACCTTAACCAAGGTCACAAAGACCTAGTATTTCATTTCTAAATATTCTTTCTACTAAAAGACATATTATGAAACAATAAGGCTGTCCTTGATCTCAACCTCTGTAGTGAGATCCTCAAAGAGTCTAACTTCCTTTACTGCTCCATTACAGAACATATTTCAGATTCACAAACTTACCTGTACCTTTTCTCCATTTCCAGTTGTAAATAGTCTTTTTGAAGAACACATTTCCTATGTTTCCTACCAACTGTTGAAATTTATATGTGCCTACTTTTATTCAAAAGTTTTATGTCCAGTATGAGACCTGTCACCCCCTTCATTGACCCATATTTGGTGAATACCCTGTTCATCTTATCCATTTCATTTGGGGCCTCTCTCTTCTCAACGATCATCTTTTCAGCCTGAAGAGAACCCTTCTTTTTTAAACTTCTCCTCTTGCTGCAACAGATTCTCTGTTCTTAGCACCCTGAATATTTCAGTGACCTTTCCAGGAGTCTTCTTTAGCTATATGTACTTTTTGAGTTGCATCAAGCAGCCCAACAATAGCTGGAGAAGCTGGACCACGAGTTTGAACAGGACCAAGGATGTTTTCTATGTTGCCTTTTCAATTTCCCTGTCAGTATTTTGTGGACATTTTAAAATAACAAACACTTTATTCCTCTATTCTGAAATTATTACCACTTTGGACTCCATTTTCTCTTCACTACAATGAAGCAGCAGCAAGCAGGCTGCTAGGGTGTGCCATGATCAACTGAAACAACTTATTTTATGAAGGCAAGAGCCCAATTACAGCCTCTAAAATAAACTCCAGGTACTTTGATCTCCTTCTGATAACTCTGACCAATAGGCTGCACATATAGAATTAAATGGAAGGAAATCAGAACTAGATGTACCACCTATGAATAAACTCAACTCCTACCTGTATAACACATGGGAAATTGTAGCCATATCTTGCCCTTCTCGATTTTCCAAATAATGCAAAAGAAAAATACATACTCACTGAACTCTTTAAACAAACATCACAACTGGATACAGGGCTTATTGTAAACTACAGCAAGCATAATTATATTTTACTAGAGGCCCAGTGCACAAATTTCGGGGGGTTGTACCTCAGCCCAGCCTGCACTCTATCCAATCTGGGACCCTTCAAGGGATGTCCAACTGCCCGTTTATAATTGATCCCGGTGGATTAGTGCCTAAACCAGCAGTCAGACATCCCTCTTACAATCCAGGATTACTGGCTCCCAATTGTTCACCTGCCTGCCTTCCTGATTGCCCCAAACCACTTCTGCCTGCCAGCCTGATCACCCCCTAACCATTCCCATGCCAGCCTGATTGATGTCTAACTGATCCCCTGCCAGCCTATTTGCCCCCAACTTCCTTCCTCTGCTGGCCTGGTCACCCCTAACTGCCCTCCCCTGCAGGCTTGATAGCCCCCAACTGCTCTCCCTTGCAGGCCTGGTCCCTCTCAACTGCCCTCCCTTGCAGGCCTGATCTTTCTCAACTGCCCTCCCCTGCTGGCCATCTTGTGGTGGCCATCTTGTGTCCACATGGGGGCAGGATCTTTGACCACATGGGGGCAGCCATTTTGTGCGTTGGAGTGGTGGTCAATCTGCATATTAGTCTTTTATTATATAGAATAGAAGCCTGGTGCACGGGTGGGGGCCAGCTGGTTTGCCCTGAAGGGTATACCAGATCAGGGTGGGGGTTCTCTTGGGGCATGAGGCAGCCTGGGCGAGGGGCCTATGGTAGGTTGCAGGCAGGCCATGGCCCCTGGCGACCCAAGCGAAGGCCCTGGTATCTGAAATTTATTTACCTTCTACAATTAAAACTTTGTAGACTGGAGTGGAGCCAAGCCTCCTGCTTGCTCCATGGCTGGCAGCCATTTCTATTGGGACTTATGTACCTTCTATAA